CTTTATTCCCAGAATTTAGAACATTGCATGTTGTAGGTATTCCATGAGGCTTTATAAAGAACATTAAAAATATCCCTTCCTCTCAAAGTTGTCAAATATATTAAGAGAAGGTATTACTGTGGCTCAAGTTGGAATGTGCACCTGTCTTCTCTTTCAGCACTGAGAAATACAGGATATAGCATAACAAAGTGTTTCTAGTGTAATAAATCTCAGAAAAAGAAAGGAAAATCCTCACGTTGTTAAGCAATAAAGTCAAAGCCAGAGCCTCATCTGACTAATGCTAAGGAGGTCATTACATGAGAATATACACCAAATATCTAGCTATTAGCACTGTAATGTCCATGTTGGAAAAAGAGATATGGCCTTGAGCTCATGTAAGATAAAGACCTATATTTGAGGGGTCTGCATAAAGATGAGTCTGAAAGATTTGCTCCCTCTATGAAAACCAGCCTAGAAAAAGTCTATCCTGAGACAGTGGTAGAGAAACAAGATCTGAATTTTTACTACCAACTTAATTCAAGAATCACAAATAACAAGTACCTAAAGATTTATCTTAATTGAAGATATATCCCATGAAAGAAGAAAACATTTTTTCTATAAGAGCACCATCAAGAAAGGAGGCTTCAATGGAAAAATGAGTTCCAAGGAAGATGCAATAAAACCCAATCACCCAAGTCATTGATCAATCATGAGAAAGAGCAGAAACGAACAGGAAAACTAGAACATGTGATAATAGAATATTTAAAAGAGATCATAAAATAAGTATATTAAATGTGATGATTAGAGACAAAAGAGAAAAATAAAAACTATAATGGAAGAATATGATCCCATGGGGGCAAAAGCAAATTTATAAAATATCCAAATTAAGTTATTGGTCATTGAAAAAGAAGTAAATGAACAGGATAAATAACAGGAAAAAATGACTACAGAGAGAATTAGTGAAATAGAAGATAAACATGAAGAAACTACACAGAATATACTAGCTAATAATAACAAATATCAGAGAATTCAAAAGACATAGATGATGGATATAGAATGAGTGAAATCAAAATTGAAAGAATAGGTTTTCTATAAAAAAAAGAAAAATGGGACAAATGCATCATTTTTAAAAAATGGATGATATTTTTCTGGCATTGAGAGTAGACAACACTGCAAAATATTAAAATAAAATTCTGTATCAAAACATGATAGAACTTATAAAAGAAAACTCTTAAAACATATTAAAATCAACAGAGTAATTACTTAGAGCAGATTACTTACATAATCATACAAAAAATTGCATGAAGATACCAAAAAAGGGGAAGAAGGGAATGATATTTATCTATTTATCCAAGAGCTAGGATAAAATAACTTTGAATTTAGAGTTTCAACAACAGCCAAGCTATTAGAAAAAATGAAAGTGAAATAAAAATTTTAGAAAAACATTGAAGGGCCAGCATTTTGGCATATTAGGTAAAGCCACAACCTGAAAAGCCAGCATCCCATATGGGTGCCAGTTCAAGTTCCAGCTGCTCCAATCCCAATCCAGCTCTCTGCTAATGTGCCTGGGAAACCAGTGGAAGATGACCCAAATGCCCAAATGCTTGGGCCCTGCCATCCATGTGGGAGACCTGGAAAAAGTTCTTGAATCCTGGCTTTAGACAGGCTCAGCTCTGGCCTTTGCTGCCATTAAGAGAGTGAACATACAGATGGAAGATCTCTCTCTTCTTTTTCTCTGTCTCTTCCTCTCTCTCTGTCACTTTGCCTTTCAAATAAATAAAATAAGTCTATAAATAAATAAAATTGGTCAAGTCAGTTTCAACTATCTGTTTGTAAATAAAATATTTTCCTGAACAATAAAAGTAAATAAGATACAAGGAGAAATATTGAGTTTATCTAAATAAAATCATAAAAATAAAGAAAAAAGCCAGAATATACAAATATTTGAATGAATTAATAAGCTGGATTTAATACACATATCTGTAATCAATGCTTATAAATTATATAGTCTTACTTACCACATATCAAATATGTTCATACTAAAGTTTTGTTAGGTTACAAAAGACTCAACAATAATAAAAATTATATAATAATTATATTTTCAGACTTTAATACCAGAAAAATTGACACAATTAATTACAAAAAGATAGCCAAAAAGTTACATATCTGAAAATTTAGATATTTATTTATAAATAATCTTTGGATAAAGGAAGTTGTAATAGAAGTTGCAAACCATCTAAATAGGATGATGAAATACCACATAGTGAAAGTTTGTAATGCTACTAAATATTGTTGGCTTACCTCTATAGATTTACATAAATGAGTTTCAGTGTCTTCTGGCTTCACTCTGGAGCCATAGCCCGTGGTCAGATCAAGTTAGGAAAGGTCGTGTTAGGGGATTTATTCTTCTGGCATCCAGCCTGAGAGGTTGCCTCTAGCTGGCTGTGCCCCATAGCAGTTTATTCTGCATAACTCCCTGCTCAGAGTCCCAGTCATGGCACTCTCCCTTGCTTTTACTGGAGCTTTCACTATACAGCTGTTACCAGCCGCAGGCTTACGTTGCTCTCTTGTGGTTCTTCTCCACCCACATCTTTGTAAACAGCCCTGTTGTAAATAAACCCTTCTCCAATTATACTGTTTTGAGAGTGCCATCTGTTTCTTATTGGGACCATGACTGAAGGAATCCATGATGTAGATTTAATTTAAAAGAACTGCACACTCTAAGATAGGGAGGCAGGTGGTAACAGCAACAATGGTGTTAGTTTTGGGGATAACTGGGAACTGGACACTGGTACTGTCTGGATGCAGCAGACAGAATTGCTACCTTTTGTTTCCCAGGGCACATTTATGGATTCTTCAGAAATTCCCCATCCCTGCAACCTCTCACCATGACCTTGGCATGGTCGGAGCATGTCTTCTGCAGCCACATTGGACTACCTGTGATGCTTTCCTCAGGTTCTATGCTTCTAACCTATGGACACTTCCCCTACTCATGTTTTTAAACATGTATTTATTTATTTGTAAGGTAGAGTTACGTAGAGAGAGGGAGACACACACACACACACACACAAATGAGAGAAAGAGAAAGAATCTTCCACCTGCTGGTTCACTTCAAAAATGGCTTTCTGGGATTCATGGTTAGATCCATAGCTTTTAATTATTTAGCCTGAACATCTCAGACTTTTCTTGTTTTCAAACCCCTCCAAGCCAAGCCATAGTCTAGGACATGTGAACTACTCACGGTTGCTCTCCCCTTCCTCATCCCTGGCCCTCACTTCCCATCCCCAGCTGTGGTGATTGATATTTAGCTAGTACATGGCCTTGGAGAATTTTACTCATGATTCCTGGGTAAAAAAGGAAGTAGATGAAAATGTATTACATGTCATTGCTAAACCAGAAGTCCTGATTATGTACTTTTCACATCTAATACTACCAATAGTTATTTGATTGTAATGTTAGTATAACATTTTGTAGATGAGGATACTAAGACTTAGATAGGTTAGTAATGTGTCTGTCCTCTGTCACATGGCTAATAGTCTTATGTGAGCAGGACTCACAAAAGGCAAAACATGGCAGTAATAGGAACATAATTTAACCAAAAACCAAGTATTTCATATTCCTAAGTAATGGGCACTTTAGGTTTAGCAAAAGCAAAATGGAAGGAAGGTAGGATTCCTGTACATCCTCAAATTTTAATGAGTACATAATGACATTCATTGGAGCAAACTGGTCCCAGAGCTTGAATAACAACTTCTCCCTTTCATTTGCCTCGGACTTCAGTCTTTGCCATGGAGTTCCTTCATGCAGTGCACTCTGATCCAGATTAGTATGAGAATCTCCTTGCCATTACAAATTTACATATTTCCCTGGAATGGAATTCTGTCGGAAAATTTTAAAAGATCTATGTATTCATTTGAAAGGGAGAATGATAAATAGAGAGGGAGAGACAAAGAGCCAGATCTTTCATCTCTTGGTTCACTCCCTAAATGTCCCCAACAGCCCAGGGTGGAACAGGCAGAAGCTGATATCCTGGGACTCTTTCCAGGTCTGCCGCATGGGTGGCAGGAACCTAAGTATTTGGCAGGATTTGAATCAGAAATAGAGACAGAACTTCATCCCAGCATCCAATATGGAATTTGGAAGTCCTAAGCTGCAGCTTGACCTACCACCAAATGCCTACCCTTTGTTCAGAATTTTGACGTAACATGACCCGCATATCAACTTTTCAGGTCTTCTCAAGGCATTTAAGAACTTTAATATGTAAGGAAAATTGACTCAAACCACAATCTCATGTAGAATGGGAAACCCAGTATCCTGGCCACCTTTCCTGAAGATTGTGTAGGGAGCTCATGTTTCTCCTATTCACCTGGTTTTGTATCCTGCTTCTATTCTCAGTCTCTACAATTGACCTTATGAATTTCCTCTTCCTTTTAATGTTCTATCTTATTATTGGAAAAAGCCAGATGACTTTAGTTCCCAGAGCTAAAGCTCCGAGAGCACAGTTATTACTGCAGGACAGGCCCTGCCCGGTGCTGCTGCATTGCAAACAGTTAAGAGAGCTATTTACTCCTTATAATCCGTGGCCAATCTTACAGATTTTGTCTCTAGGAAACGTTCATGGTCGCCTCACCTTGGAATCCTTGGTCCAACATGATACTAGATTTTCCTTTGCCCTCCTTTGGATTCTTGCTCTCTCTTCTCTTTTTCTATAGCTATTTTTCCACAACCAAAATGGCCTTATTTCTATTAACACAGAGAATACTTGTACTCTGTCCATACAGAATCCAGAAACATTTTTCAATGATCAAAACGTTGCTCACCAAATAACAAGGAAGACATGACTATAGTAAATACTTAGATCATGTGAGCATAAGATAAACTTTGTTACCAGAAAGAGTTAGGAACGTATCAATTATGAATAGTCATATGCATAATAAGGATAATTCCCATTTGAAACCACACAGGGGCTAATTTTTTAAAAAAGAAAATAGAATATGACCAAAATGCTGTTTTGACTAAAATTGATATTAATATAATCAGTTTATTCTTTTATTTTAAAGATTTATTTATGTACTTCTTTATTTGAAAGCCAGACAGGAAGAAAGAGATATGGAGAGAGGGAGAGAGAATCTTTCATCTCCTGGTTCACTCCCCAAATGGCCACAAAGAACTCCATCCTGGTCTCCCACGTGGGTTGTGGGGAGCAACTGGGAGCAACTCGGACTAGACTAAGTTACTGGAATTAAGACTTATTCTATGCATCTGCTTTCCCACAATATGGCACTGAGAAGGGAAACAGCTTCTACACAGCTGCCTCCAGTTCAACCAATAAACTGTGGGACCTGCTCCTGATTGGAGGAGAGCAGTGTACTCGGCGTGTGGGTAGCAGAGTTGGGATTGGTGGAAGAGGACTATAAAGGAGGAGAGAGACAACATGCACCAGGAACATCTAAGGGGAACATCTAAGGGGAACACCTGTGCAGCCCCCGAGAGAGCTGGCCGGCGGTGTGCCGCTCCCCTGCGGAAGTGGGGAAAGTGGCCAGGGGGAACCGCCCTTCCACAGAGGTGGAAGGGATGGTAGCCAACCCGGGAAGGACCAGCAGCCAACCCGGGAAGGACCAGTAGCCAACCCGGGAAGAACCAGCAGCAAACCCGGGGAGGGCCGAGCAGACAGAAGAACAGCGCAGGGTCCTGTGTCGTTCCTCCACGAAGACGGGGAGCGACAGTGGGTGACATGGTACCAAGGGCTTGGCGCATCATCCTTTGCTTTCCCAGGTGCGTTAGCAGGAAGCTGTAACTGAAGCAAAGCAGTCAGGACTCATACCAACACTCTTATATGAGGTGCCAGCTATTGCAAGCAGTGACTTAACCTGCTGGGTCGCAACACTGGCCCCATAATCTGTTTATTCTTGCAAAGGTGGCAATTATTTCAGCATTGTAACGTGTTTCCGTTTATATATTTTGGGCTTTGCATTAGAAGAGCACAAAAAAGTGTTAACAAATACAGAAAGTATATGAAGTAACATAAATATGTGGGTTAAAATATATGTGAAAATATCTGCCAATCACAATTAATTCACAAAAGAATAGTTGCATCTCAAATAATTGGAAAGGTTCACAAGTCACAGGGGCATAAACATTGCCTTCGCGTTGGTTGCTAAGCCCATGTTACACTGGCTCTGAGTTTTAGTGCAGGGACCATCCTTAGAAATGCCTGAGGAAGCGAGATTGACTCTGAGTAATGAACTGCAATCAGGAAGCATGTGGCAAAGACTTACCCCCACACTGAGCTCCAGGGCCACCCAGGGGCTTCGGCAGACTTCACTCTGATTGAAGTCTTTTCTGAAAATGAAATCCCAATACCACATTTGAAATGTAGTAGGGCCAAACTTTGCATGAAATTTTCCCCTTCCAAAGGAAACCCCGGCCTAATTGCTATTATTTCTCCTTCGACATTAATTTTTATTATTTTATATTGCCTAAAATAATTTTGCAATGTTTTAACACAATATATTTTAGAAAAAAACAGTTCTGAATTCATAAGCAACCCCTATGGCATGTCCTTGGCATTGGCTGTAAAATTCCAAAGTACCTAATTTATTTGATTGATTGATTTTTGAATGTGTAAAAGGGTACCAAGCCCAACAGCATATAATTTTTCTCTTACAAAATGGAATGTGAATGAATAAAAGATAATTGCTTTTTTGTATTCAGGCTGTTGTCTTTACATAGTTTTTTTTCTACAGCTCTGAAGTGACTGAAAAGCATCTTTTTCTTTTTAGAGCAATAAGAACTCACCCTACTATTCCTCAACAAAATTCCATATGCAGACCCAGCTCAGCGCTCTGCTGTTGTATTACCTTGACCAGGATGCTGCCTTACTCTGGTGCAACCGCACCAGGATGCCAGTGAATACAACATGTTCTAGAGACTGAAGCTCACATATTTGGTGCAGAGAAGAGCCTTCTTCTAGAATCTTCTCTGGTTGGAAGTTGCACTCCCAGTATCTTCAAGTTCACAGACTGAGCACAATGCAAAGAAATGAGGTTGTATTTTCCCAAGGAAGCAAGAGGATATAATCTGTAAGTTAGATAGAAGCCTGCACAGTTTAGCATGGACTTAACTAAAGCACTCTTTTCTTATCTCCTCTCCTCTCACTTTCCATCCGTCTTCAACTTGGTTAACAGCAAGGGGCTGACCAAGGAATTGCATTTCCTTATCTTGCTGACCAGAGCAATCACTCTTTGGAAGCCAGGGAGAAGGATACCAGGTGGTTACGAGGTGGGTGGAAGGCTGAGGGACAGGAAGGAACATTCACTCACCTTAGCAGCTCTATGGCCTGCTGCTTCTATGTTCTCCTTCCCACAGCTCTAGAACTCCTATAACCAACAAGAAGTTGGACAAATATTGAGTGCTTCCTAGAGATGATCATGAACTTTTCTTACAACTTTGAAATTTTTAAAGTACATCAATCAATTTTCTGCAATTTTTATTGCCTCAGTCTGCTTTGGGGAGAAGGGCAATGATGTAGGATAATAGTTCTCCCTTCAAATGTATTTGAGATTTCAAATCTAATTACAAGTTCCCTCTTACATTTGGCTTGTTCCATATGTAAAACAAGCCAAAAATGTGACTTTCCCATTCCAAGAATTATAAGTTTTTTTTTAATTTTATTTTTAGGCCAAATAGAAAAACACCCTGGGCTGAGATGAGATTAAAGAAAATTATTTTGTTATTTTTTTTTGTCATAGGTCTTTGTAAGTCTCCAGAAAAAAAAATCATTGTGTTATCAAGTACAGACGAGTGCTTGTACTGTATAATATTAGACCATTGTGTAATCTTCAGGGTTTTTGCATTTTCTGCAAGATTAATCTTCAAGGCCCAGCACCTCCACAGGATCCTCGTGCAAACAAGCAATTGACCTCTAGATTTGTGACAAGGCTGTTGGACCTCTCCAACAACTATGGGCAAAAGCAGCTGCCAGAATTTGACTGTGAGGCTTGACCCAACACTGAAAGTCAAGTACTTTGCCAACAATCATGTCAAAATAATAAAAGAAGGACATATCTGAGAAATTATCTGACTACTGTGCTGCAGGTGCAGTGAACTGGGAATAAGGTGTGGACACATTCCTAGAAGGAAGAGCATTTCTCACAGAGTGCTCACTCTCCCCAAGGCATGTAAGTATCAGCACAACGAAGCATCCTTCTCAGAGTGCCTCTTTACCTTTCATTAAAAATTATTTTGTAACATAGTAACTGAGCAGATTTGTTAGCAGGAGTCCTGGTGCTGACTTCAAAGCCTTGTTGAAGAAAGACTCTTTAAACCTGGAGCTCATAATTTGCATCTGAAACAGCAGCACAGCTCACGCTGTTCTGCCTGTGTGTTTCAAGAGACAGGAATCCTTGGCTTGGAGAGCAGCATCCAATGCAATGGTGGCGTCTTGGAAGTAGGAATGTAGGAATCTACTTACATAGACAGACCTCACTTACTGCAAGCCATTCTGGTCATAAATGTCAGAAAGTTCATAAATGTCAGGTAGTAAAAAACAAGGAAAGGAAATCAGGAGCTTGAGAGAGATGCACAGTACAAAAGACCTTGGCTCAAGTAATCAATATCATCACCCACAAGCATTGCATTGATGAGTTAACCGAACCTTCAGTTTTCTTACCAAACACCCAATCTAGAGAGATTCCCTTCCATACTTTTCCTCCTAAAAGTGGTGAAAACCTGCTTGGGAGAAACAACGAAATGGGAAAAGTCTATGAAGTTGTCTTTCTGAAGGACGCTAGGGTCTAGGGCCTTGTATGAATCTGGGGGAGATATATAGACTCTACAGCTATCCCACTATAGTCAAGTAAATGTAACCTTAATTAAATGGAGTGAACTTTAGTACTAGACATTTAATAGTGCCTCATAAGCAACCAAGTATCCTAAGATAGATTGCAAATTACCTCAGAATATTTCTCCACATGATGTAATTCCATATATATGCTTTGTGCAATTTAAAAAAAAGCATCCCAAGGACACAATTAATAAATCCATAATTAAAAAGAAGGAAGACTATATGCCTAAGGAAACAAAGTGAAGACATGAATCATACTGTTAAAGAACTAATAATAAATTGAAAACAGAAAGAAACATGACATACATAACTGATAACTGCAAAGAGAAAATGGTTTGCAATAAACACAGTGAAGTCTCATGGAAAATGTAGAGATTAAAGCACCAGAGACAAGCTAATAAAAGTGAAAGACAGGTAAGACTGATGCTACATGTTTGACATCCATACATTTAAAATCTCAGCCAATTAACACTCAAAGGTGGTAAGGGAAATTTTTCTTGACATGAAATACTTTATTTCCAAGCTAAAAGAGCACACTATATATCAAGACACATCTGGCATATTGAACTTTATGGAAAAATGAGGAATACCACAGAAGTGCTGACAAAAAAATGAAACCATTTCTAAGAGAGAAAAAAAGAAAAAATTTCTCCTTAGACACATTCAATGATGGAAGTTGAATGTTCTCGGTGAAAGAAACTATGACAAAGAAAATTAAACCCCTTGATGATGTCTTTCAAATGTAAATACACTAGGCAGATATTAAATAATGTTAAGAGTTAAGGGAACTCATGGATTACAACTGTGAATCCCATTCCTAATGTGCTCACAATGAAATTGAAAAAAAAAAAAGAAAAAACCCATATAATGACATAAATTAAATAAATTTTGAAATTACTTTGAAATCTATAGATATGGTTTGGAGCTTGATTGCATAGAATTGTCTTAGAATTATTTCAAATTAACCCAAAAATGTGTGCAGTTTATCTTTATGAAACAGAATGTAAGCAGAATAAACTTTGACAACATAAAACAATCAACAAGATCAGGAGGAGAAACAGGAGAAGATGGGGAGAATGCTTCAAGTGTTAAAATCTATCTTTGTAGTAGGAGTTAATCTACATGTATTCAATGAAAACAGCCTGATTAAAAACAATATTATAACTTTTCATAGTTTTATCTTATCCTTAACAAATGATAAATCTGTGATATGGAAAGTGAGTAGCATTTCAGCTTTTCTTGATTGCACCTCAATTTGTTTTCCTTCTATAATTAAGTCCAAGGAGACTACGCTGTGACTCCTTGGTCAATCCCATATGGGCACTGGGTTCTAGTCCTGGTTTCTTCTCTTCCAGTCTAGCTCTCTGCTGTGACCTGGGAGGGCAGTGGAGGATGGCCCAAGTGCTTGGACCCCTGCACGTGTATGGGAGACAAGGAGGAAGCACCTGGCTCCTGGCTTCGGATCGGCACAGTGCCGGCCGTGGCGGCCATTTGGGGGGTGAACCAACAGAAGGAAGACCTTTCTCTCTGTCTCTCTCTCTCACTGTCTAATGCTATCTGTCAAATAAATTTTTTAAAAAAAGTAAGTCCAAGCAAAATTGAGTAAAACTTACTTAATAATAAATTATGTGGCACAAAAGTATATTGACATCTTGATCTCTGTTTCATTGAGCATATTTTAGATGCAAAATTCACCCATTTTAGGTAACCATATGATTATCCCAATAGATGCAGAGAAAGCATTTGATAAAATACAACACCCTTTCATGATGAAAACTCTAAGTAAATTGGATATATAAGGAACATTCCTCAATACAATCAAAGCAATTTATGAAAAACCCACGGCCAGCATCTTATTGAATGGGGAAAAGTTGGAAGCATTTCCACTGAGATCTGGCAGCAGACAGGGATGCCCACTCTCACCATTCCTATTCAATATAGTTCTGGAAGTTTTAGCCAGAGTTATTAGACAAGAAAAAGAAATTAAAGGGATACAAACTGGGAAGGAAAAAGTCAAACTATCCCTCTTTGCAGATGATATGATTCTTTATTTAGGGAATCCAAAGAACTCTACTAAGAGACTATTGGAACTCACAGAAGAGTTTGGTAAAGTAGCAGGATATAAAATGAAACTCTATGGATTTTATTTATTTATTTATTTTTGACAGGCAGAGTTAGACAGTGAGAGAGAGAGACAGAGAGAAAGGTCTTCCTTTTTCCGTTGGTTCACCCCTCAAGTAGCTGCTACGGCCAGTGCATTGCTGCCGGCGCGCTGTGCCAATCCGAAGCCAGGAGCCAGGTACTTCTCCTTGTCTCCCATGTGGGTGCAGGGCCCAAGTACCTGGGCCATCCTCCACTGCCTTCCCGGGCCACAGCAGAGAGCTGGACTGGAAGAAGAGCAACCGGAACAGAATCTGGCGCCCCGACCAGGACTAGAACCCGGAGTGTCAGCGCTGCAGGCGGAGGATTAGCCTAGTGAGCAGCGGCGCTGGCCAAAACTCTATGGATTTTAACAAATGTATAGTCAGTTAATAACCACCATGATTATGGTCAAAAATATTTCCATCATTTCAAAAACTTTTGAGGCCTCTTTGTAGTCTGTCCTCACTGGTAACCCTCTGGGAAAACACTGAGAAGGTTTCTCTCTATAGGTTCACCTTTTACTGGGTGTCACAGAAGTTGAATCAAATAGCATGATGGAATCTGACTTTTGTATTTAACAAAATGCTTTTGAGATGCACCCACGTGGCTGCCTTCAGTTGTTCCTCTTTATGGCTGTGTGTATTCTATTGTATGGATACCATAATTTGTTTATCTCATCATTTGGCATCTGAGGAATTTTGTATTGTTCCCAGTTTTCAGGACTATGAATACAGCTGCTATAACATTCACACACAGACTAAAGTGCAAGCATTTATTTCTATTTCTTTTGGACAAATAGCTTAAAATGGCTTTTGGCATTCTATGTAGAGTGCATGTTCTTTCACTTAATGCCAAACAGTTGAACTATTTCTCAAAGTGGTTGTACAATTTGTACCACGCCATAAATGTATGAGATTTCTACTTGCTCCTTGTCAACAATTGGCATTGTTAAAAGTTGGCATTGTTATTTTTTTAAAAATCATACTAATAGGTTGTTAGTTGTCTATTTTTTCCCTATCTTTAGTTAATGGTGTAGTAGAGGGGGTGTGGAAGTTTACAGATTTGTCCTTTTTTTCCTGAATTGCTTAAGTTCTTCATAATAAATATATATTATTTACCTTTAAAAGAATTAGTTTTTTTTTATTTGACAGGTAGAGTTACACAGTGAGAGAGAGACAGAGACAGAGAGAAAGGTCTTCCTTTCATTGGTTAACCCCCAAAATGGCCACTGTGGCCAAAGCTATGCTATACTGTCCTTCAAATCTGTAGCAATGACCCTTCTTTCACTCCTGATATAATTTGTTCTCTTTTTATATCTTGTTCCTCAAAAGATAAGAGACTTTTTTCCCTCCTTTTATTTCTTTTAAGGTTTTCTCTTTGTCTTTAGTTTTC